TGAACAGCCGGCAGTGCAGATGGCAGCTCTGTCACTGTCACACGGAAGAACACCCATGGGAAGCGTGTGGGGAGGCTGGTTGGAGCCAGGAGCTGCCAGGTGAGATGAGCTGCTTGCTTTGGCAGGTGAACCATTCCCCCAGCTTCAGCACGGACTCTCGCCTGGACCGAGAGGTGAAGGATGCTCTTCTCTGTGACACCATAAACTTGATAAATGTGAATGCCTGTAACAAAAGGAAGGTGTTGGAGGAAGACAAGCAGCGGGTAAAGGAACGGCTCCTCCAGTCTCATCAGACTTCCCGTGCATCCAGGTATTGCTCTTCCCCACGGTGCTGCAGGGCCCTGGTGAGAAAAGATGGGCCATGGCAGAGCAGGATGAAACTAAGGCTGGCTGCCTCCAAGTTAAAGCTCCCAAAGCCCATGGCACTGTATAGACTCTCAGATCTCCCAAGCCCTCTGCACCCAGCAAGGAAGAGCCAGGGCTTCTCTCTAGGTGCTAGATCAGAGACACCGAGTGCTCTGGGCACTGTACAGGGTCATCCCCAGTGCTTGGCCCATCTTTCAGTGCCAATGGGCAGTGCTGGTATCCCCTGTGATGCTCGCAGCACAGATCACATCACTGCCTGAGGGACCAAGAGCACAGGGGGGCATGGGGCCCTTCCCCAGGCAGGGCTCCTTCCCCAGGGCTGAGGGTTTCCCCCCTGTTCTCTGTCTGTGTGCCCTTTCACGAGGCTGTGGTACAGGAACCCACTGCCCGGGCTCCTCCTGCCATGCAGAGCTCTTGTCACTGGGTTGGTGGGTGAAGAGACTGAGGGGCAGGGGGGAAGCCTGGGCAGCAGGGGAGAGGGCAGGAAGCGCTCCACCAGCACTCCCTGGGCAGAGGATGGCAGGGAGCGGGCTCTGCTGGTCCCCTGCACCTGAAAAGGGCTCCCAAGCGGGCGAAGATGCTCGCGCGGGCCCGGGCCCGCAGGCAGCGAGTGCCCGGGCGGTGCCGTGTCCCTTGGCAGGCGTGAGGAGCTGCAGAGCAGGCAGGAGGCCTGGCTGTGCCAGGCGCAGCTGTACGAGGACGCGCACCTCGGCGGGTACCGGCGCATCTACCCGGCCCACGGCACCGAGCGCTACGAGCGCTTCTTCAAGCACAGCGGCTCCCTCTTCCGGGAAACAGCCTCATCCAAAGCACGGGAGGAGTGTGCCAGGTACGCCCTCACGGCTGGCACAGAGCCCGCCTGCTCCCCTTCCCATCCTAGGAGCAGCTCTGCTGCTTCACAGATGTGAGCCCGCTGGTGAGAGCTGGAGGCGAGGACCCTGCGTGGGCTGTGTCACCGCAGCAGAGACTTCCCTTGAGAGGCAAATGCAGTATTCCGTTGACTTCTGGGCTCTGGAGGCACCGTGTCGTGAGGGTCCTTCACCTTTCCGGGGGGCACAACCCAGTTCAAGGGCATTTCTTACAGAAGTGAGCATCTCCCGGCCCATTTCTTGGCACCTATGACAGCCTGTCCACTACAGAACTCCTGACTGCAGGAAAATGTCCCCGGATTGAAGGCTTCATAAGAACCTCGTGCTGTTGTGGCTCTTACTGAACCACTGAGATTACTGACTCTGACTCTTCTCTGGCAGGCAGCAACTGGAGGAAATTCGCCTGAAAAAGGAGAAGTTTGAAGCTGCCATCATGAAGAAGAAAGCGGAGAGGAAGGAAGAGCTGCACGGGGAGTCAGGAGGGGACAAACCCCGGACCAGCACTACCAGCACAGCTCCTTCAGCCCGCCTCACCTCCAGAAGCAGCAGGATATGGGATAGGAAGGTACTTTCCTCTTGTGGTGGTCTGTGGGGCTCCCAAAGGCAGTGATGTGGCGCTGGGAACAGTGTGGGTCCGTGGGTGTCTCCCATGGAGCAGAAGCACAAGGTCCTCTTCACGCAGCACCAAGAGGTGACAGCTTGTGCTGGGAGGCAGCTGCTGCAGTGGCTCCCACTGGGATTTTCATCCCACCTCGCCCCAAGTCTGTAGCTCTCCTTAGGGCTCAGAGCACCTCATGCCTTTGTCTCTGCTGCGCATCGCTTCATCTTTGCTGTAACTCAGTTCTTCCCTTCCCAAGGCACAGCACACGCAGGTCGACTCCACGCAACCCCAGGATATTGTGGCAAATGAGGAGAAGAAAAGAATAAATGCTCTGCTGCAGCGTGAGAACCTTATCCGAAGCCTGGGCATCATAGACCAGCTCTCCCGCCTGCAACCTGCACCCCAGCCACCAGCTGACATGCAGAGGTCCCTCCCTGCTGACTGCAAGAGCCAGGTAACTGAAGAGCACCCAGACCCCTCCTGCGTGGCCAGCGCAGGAGACAGCCATTCCCAGGAGGATGGCGAGCATGGATCGCAGGCATTGAGCATCCCTGGCTCAGTCAGATGAGATCCAACACAGTGTATGGGTACACAGGGTTTTGTGCAGTTACTGACTTTGTCCCTTTCCAAATGGGTATGCTAGGGGTGTTCCCCTCACTGCTGAGAGTTCCTGGGTGCTCCTTCCCAGAAAACTCTTATGTTCCAAAGAACAGACCACAACAATACTGCCTTTTGGACACTGCTGTGCCCAGCACACAGCTAAGCGTGAGGGATGTGGAGCTGCTGGAGCGAATCCAGAGGAGGCCACATTGCTGCTGCGAGGGCTGGAGCAGCTCTGCTCTGGAGCCAGGCTGAGAGAGCTGGGCTGGGGCAGCCTGGAGAAGGCTCCTGAAGGGGAGACCTGAGAGCAGCTCCAGTGCCTGAAGGGGCTGCAGGAAACCTGGAGAGGGGCTTGGGACAAGGGCCTGTAGGGACAGGCCAAGGGGAATGGCTTGAACCTGCCCGAGGGGAGACTGAGCTGAGCTCTTAGGCAGAAGCTCTTCCCTGTGAGGGTGCTGAGGCGCTGGCACAGGGTGCCCAGAGAAGCCATGGCTGCCCCATCCCTGGCAGTGCTCAAGGCCAGGTTGGACACAGGGGCTTGGAGCAAGCTGTTCTAGTGGAAGGGGTCCCTGCCCGTGACAGGGGTTGGAACTGGATGAGCTTTAAGGTTCCTCCCAACTCAAACCAGGCTGGGATTCTAAAGGAGATCTGCATGGCTGTCTCATAGTGAGTCTTGGCTATCACACCATTCCCAAACCAGGCTGCCAGTCTGAAACCTGAGCAGGAGAAAGCCCCAAACCCACAGGTTGTCTGTGGGCTCCATCAGGCTCCAGGGGCTGTTCTGGGCACTGATTGTGAGTGTCACCTGCTGAGTTGGGAAGGCCTGGTTCTGGACCTGCAACTAATGGAAAACCTTGCACAGTCCATTACCCCTTCCAGCAGCGCCATCTGCTTCCAGCAAGGCCACCCCCTCCTCCTGGCTGGAAGGGTGGCTCTCGGGAGCACCAGAGCTGCAGGAATTACTCAGAACCTAGAAGTCTTCCAGTTTCTTCCAGGAGATTGGGAATAATTCATTTACCTTACAAAAGAAGCCTAAAATGGGATTTGATCTGTACAAACTGGGGCAGCTGCATTTCCTATACCAGATGGAGCAGAACAGAACCTGAAACCCAGACGCTGCTGGGTATTTTTTAGCAGAGAAGGGTTATCTGGGGGTGGGCCAGATCCTTCATCCCGAATCTTCCCAGCCTGCTCCTGCTCCAGCTCGGCCCAGTCAAGGGCCGGGAGCCTCGGCGCTGCTGCAGGTAGGATTTGAGTCTGGGATGGTGACGGTGACGTGCCCGGGGCAGCACCCGGAGCACTGCTTTGGTGAGTGCCTGTGGGTGATCAGAGCGGACGTTTCCTTCCCGTCTCTCCGGAGTAAGGGTGGCTGCTTTCATTCCTTCCAGCCGCAGTGCCACCGGGATGCACTCGGAGGCTTCACGACGCCCGTCCCCTTCTCTCTCCTGAGACACCCACTCCGGTCTTTGGGACAGCAGCACACGTACAACCCCAGGGCTGAGGTGCAGCTGCCGCCCAGCCTGGGCTCGGGCTCTGCACCCGTGCTCTTGATTCGAGGCAAGAGGATCCCGTACACAGCACGGCAGAGCCTCCGGTCACCAAACAGGGGCTGGCTGCAGGGCTGGGCAGCATCGGCGACAGCCATCACCCGGCCCGGCACCGAGCCCGAGGGGCAGCAGGAGCGAGGCCAGCAGCTCCCTGCTGCTGGAAGCAAGGCTGAAGGCTGTGAGTACACATTACCTTCCTCCAGCTCTGCGTGTCTGCACCGCGGAGGCTCCAGAGAGTGCGCTGGAGCCAAGGGCAGGTGCTGTGGATGCTCCTCTGCTTGCCAGGGTGGGAGGAGCGGGTGGGCTCAGACCCTGCAAGGGGACACTAAACTCTTCTCTGGGAACTGGTGACCACCCGAGTCCCTGCCTGCAGCTGGCACCATCCCACTTAGAGGGGCAGGGAAGCAAGTGGTGGTTTCTCAGGACCAGCAGTTTATGTGTTGGGATGGGGGAGCATGAGAAGATCCCACCTTCCCCCAGCCCTGCACAGCTCTCCCCAGCGGCTGGGCTGCTGTGCACCAGGGCCAAGCACCATGAGGCGTGCAGGGGGCTGCTGACCCCCAGAGCCACCTGCCTGCACCCCAGCTCTGCCTGTGCTCTTCCAGGTGAAGCTGGCAGGCCGTCCCTCAGCGCTGGCGGCTGGCACCCGGGTTCGCCGGCCAGCACCGGCCGGGACACACGCAACGGCATCCTCGGCCGTGCTGCCACCCCGGAGCTGCCCATCTCCCCAGCCTCGCCCCGCGCCGGACCCTCGCCCGTTCGCAGAGTGAAACGCACAGGTAACGGGGCAGAGTGGACCCGCGCTCGGCTTCCGCGCCGCGGGGTTACCGCGGCTGCCGGACGGCGATGGCTGCCTCCCCTCCTCGGCTGGAGCCTGGGCCCCGGGTCGGGTCCCGCCGCACGGCCCGGGCAGCACCGACACCCCCTTGGCTTGCACCATGCGCGCACCCCTCAGGGGCTGCCCGGTGCCCGTGATCGCCGGCGCGGCCGTTCCGGGCATCCCGCCGGCCCCCGCTCCGCCCCCGGCGCAGCCCCGCCCGGTTCCCGTGCCATGGCGGCGCTCCTGCGGCGCGGGTTGAGAGCGGCCGCGCTGCTCACCGGGACCCCGCGGCGGGCGGCGGCGGCGTGGCGGGGGGCACCGGAGCCGCCGGACCCTGCGATGGAGGAGGCCGAGAGCTGCGGGGAGGCGGCACCGGGGCTGCGGGGCCGGGGCTCTCACGTCTCTCCTCTCAGGCCGCGGCGGCGGCGGCGGGAGCTGGGCAAGGAGCGCGGAGCCCCCGAGCGCACGCTGACCTGGTCGGCCATGGAGCAGATGCGGTGAGCGGAGGGGCCGGGCCCGGTGACCTTTCCCCGGTGACCGCCGCCCCGCTGACCGTGCTCATGCCCGCAGGTTCCTGCGGCGGGAGCTGCCCGAGGAGTGGCCGCTGGAGCGTCTGGCCCGGGGCTTCGGTGTCAGCCCCGACGTGGTGCGGCGGGTGCTGCGGAGCCGGGCCTGCCCCCCGCCGCACCGCCGCCTGCGGCAGGACCGGAAGGCGCTGAACGCCGCACCCAGATCGGCACCGGGCCCGGAAACCGGCCGCGAGGTGCGCGCTCCCGACGGCACGCTGCTGTACCGGGTGCCCTGGGGCGGGCCGGGGCCCGGCGAGCTGTGAGCGGCCGCGGGGGCACCGCCTCCCCCCGCGCCCGCTCCGCCTTGGCCATGGACTCCGACGCTGCGCGGCTGCTGGACGCGGCGGAATTCGCGGCCCAGAAGCACCGGGAGCAGCGGCGGAAGGACCCCGAGGGCACCCCTTTCATCAACCACCCCATCGGTGCGGAGGCCGTCCGGCACCCCCCTGCACGGGGCGCTCCCTCCGGCCCGACTCGGGCCCAGCAAAGCACCGGGGCCCGCTCCCGGCTGGGGCAGAACCCAAGTGGCCGAGCACGGGGTGGTTTTGGGGGTCTGCCCACGCTCTGCCACTGCCTTGTCCCCTTGCTCCCCGGTTCTCCCTTGTCCCTGTGACCCGTCCCTCCGGCCTCCACATCCCCCCCCCCGCGTTGTCCCCACAGCCCCCCTTGTCCTCACAGCCCCCTCTTCCATCCCTGCTTTGCCCCTACAGCTCCCCACTTGTTCCTACCGGTTCCCGCCCCCCGTCCCTGGTTTCTCCCTCTGAGCCCCGGCCCCGCAGCCCCCCGCCTGCCCAGCCCAGGACTTTCCTGCTCACCCGCAGCCCACCCCCCTAACCCTAACCCGTTCGCTGCCCCACACTCCCCGTCACCCTGCTCTGTCCCGCAGGCGTCGCTCGGATCCTGGCCTGCGAGGCCGGTGTGACCGACATAGAGCTGCTGCAGGTGATGCCCGGTTTCCCCTCCCGCGTTCCCCGCCGCGGGGTCGGCTCCATCCCGACCCGCCCGCCCCCCTGCAGGCCGCTCTGCTCCACGACACGGTGGAGGACACGGACACCACGTTCGCGGAGCTGGAGGCGCGGTTCGGCGGCGCCGTGACGGGCCTGGTGCGGGAGGTGACGGACGACAAGGAGCTGCCGCGGGCCGAGCGCAAGCGGCTGCAGGTGGAGCGGGCCCCGGGCCGCAGCCCCCGCGCCAAGCTGCTGCAGCTGGCCGACAAGCTGCACAACCTGCGGGACATCGGCCGCTGCCCGCCGGCAGGTACGGGAGCACCGGGCCCGCTGCGGCGGGGGCTGCTCCGCTCCCTGCCAAGGGCCGGGCGGGTTCCCGGTGCAACCGGGCGGCTCCGAGCCCAGCGGGTGTGTGTGTGGGGGTGTGTGTGAGAGAGATGGTGCCGGGGGAAGCGGGGGGGGACCGGGCCGGGCGGCGCTCAGCGCCCGGTGCCCCCGGTGCAGGCTCCGGCTCCCGGCGGGGCTCGTGACGCCGCTCGCGCGTGCCCCCGCAGGGTGGTCACCGGAGCGCGTGCAGGAGTACTTCCGGTGGGCGGCGCAGGTGGTGTCCGGCCTGCGAGGGACGAGCCCCGCGCTGGAGGCGGCGCTGGAGCGGCTCTGGGCGGAGCGCGCGGCGGGGGCGGGACCGGAACCGGGACCGGGGGCCGAGGGCGGTGCGGGGAGCGACAGCCAATAAACGTGCACAGAGCCGATGTCCCGCCTCCTGCGTAGCCATGGCACAGCGCACTTCCGGAGCGGGGGTTCCGGCGGGGCCGCGGGTTGCCGTTCCGGTCCCCGTCATGGCCTCCGCTGGCCGCCGAGACGCGCCCGAGGCGCCCGACTTCGGCATCCTGAAGCGGCTGGCGCGGGATCAGCTCATTTACCTGTTGGAGCAGGTCCGGGCCCGGGGGGGCGGCGGGGTCGGTGCGGTACCGGCGGGGGGCTCGGCGCTGGGAGCAGCCGGTGTGAGCCGCCTGCCCGCCTGCCCGCAGCTCCCCGGGAAGAAGGACCTGTTCATCGAGGCCGACCTGATGAGCCCCCTGGACCGCATCGCCAACGTCTCCATCCTCAAGGTACCGCGGGGCCCGCGGGCAGATGCCCGTTGCCCGCGCTGCCCCCGGTGCCCGCTCACAGCCCGGCCTCTCCCTGCAGCAGCACGAGGTGGACAAGCTGTACAAGGTGGAGAGCCGGCCTGCCGCCGGCGCCAGCGACCAGTGAGTCTCTCACCGTGGCAGTGGGGCACAGGGGCTGGCAGGGCAGGAGGGGGGGCAGGCGCCTCATCGTGCTCTAGATCTGTCCCTGCTGGACCAGGTGGTCCCCGGGCAGAGCTGCTGAGGGTCCAGGGCACAAGGGGCCTCTCACTGCCTCTGCCATGGCAGGTTCTGCTTCCTCGTCCGGCCGCGGATCAGAACGATGCGGTACATCGCTGGTGAGTGCAGCGCCCAGGACACTTGTCCTGCGCCTGGGGTTTTAGTTCCTGCCCCAGGCACTTGGGGTGCTAAGGCCCTCACTGGGCAGGAGGAGCTGTGCCAGGGCAGGGGCCGAGCGGCCTTCACAGCCTCTGCACGTTTCTCACCTGCAGATATTGTCAATGCCGACAAGATGTCAGGGAGGAGCAGGAAGTACAAAATCATCTTCAGCCCCCAAAAGGTCAGTGTGACCGTGCTCAGCTGCCCGTGACCCCATTCACTCTGTCTGCCGGCCTTTATGCCTTCCCCCCCTTCTATACACACCAAACGTCCTTCATTTGTAACCCAGAAACGTTCAATTAAACCAAGCAGCACGATACTTCCATCACCAGGATCCCTCCGCCACCAGGGCTCTGCATGCTTGGAGCACGGCTGGGCCCTGAGGGTCTCGTTCTCTTCCAGTTTTATGCTTGTGAGATGGTGCTGGAGGAAGAAGGAGTCTTTGGTGGTGAGTGACGCTGCGGTGGCTGCCCCTTCCCCTCCCTGCGGTAGCTCTGACCTGCAGAATTCCCGTTGAATCCCAGTGCGGGATCCCTGTGCTGGAATGGGAGCGTGGGCAGGAGCTGTGGTTCCCTCTGGCCTTTCTGCCTGCAGGCATGTGCCCACCGTGGCATCGGCACCAATGGGAGAAGAGAGGGTCCTGCCATAAATCTGGCAAAGCTCCTTCTCTGCTTCCCAGAACTCTGACAGGGCTCTCACTCGGGGCTGTCACCCAGGGCTGTGATGGATAACCATCGCCTTCCCCTGTCCCAAACCCAGATGTCACCTGTGACGAGTGGTCCTTCTACCTGCTCCCCCTGGACGAGGACATCATCAGCATGGAGCTACCCGAGTTCTTCCGTGACTACTTCTTGGTCAGTGCGGCGATGCTGCCAGGACGCAGCTCCCCCCTTGCTGTCTGTTGGGCTGGGGACAGGGCAGCTCTGTTCAGAAAGCTGATGAGTGACATCCCGCTCGGTCCCAGGGTGGCTTTTGCCAGAGGTGGCTGCGCCGATGGGCTGTGATGCCCCTGTACACATACCCTGTGCTGGCTCCTTGTCTGCTCCCTGTGAGCAGCTTTGGGGCATCCCAGCACATTTCTCCTGGAAGCCCAAGCCCGGGGCATGCTCTGTCCCCAGCCCTCTCCCAGCCGAGTCCCCCGATGCTTCTCTGGTTCCTCCCCACCAGCCTGCCCAGAGCTCTCGTGGTCCTGCAGGAGGGAGATCACCGCTGGATCAACTCCATCGCTCGAGCCCTGCAGTTGCTGAACTCCCTGTACGGCCCATTTGGCAGGGTCTATGGGATCGGCAGATGTGCCAAGGTACAGCCACACGTCAGGAAGCCTCCGGGCCCTTTAAGGGCACAGCTTAAACCCCATCAGCTGTGTGGCCTCTTCCCAGGCTGTGCTGGGACCTGCCCCGTTGGGAGGGGAACCCAGCTGTCCTTTGTGCCCTGGCCAGCACCAGGGTTGGGCAGGGGGAGTCCCAGCAGCATCTGCTGCTCTTTGGGGTGCTGCAGAGCCCCCTGTGCCTGCTGCAGCTGGGGGCCCTGTGGGACGCCACGTCCTGGGTGGCCCATGTGAGGGCCTGGGGCTGGGGCAGGCTGATGGGAGCCTGCACCTGCTCCTGGGTGCTGCCACGCTCTGCCCCTTGCAGATGAGCTACGAGCTGTGGCGGGACCTGGAGGGGGAGAGCGAGGGCGATGGCCAGGGCAGGAAGCCTGAGATTGGCAACGTCTTCCTCATGGACAGAGGTGGGCTGGAGCACGGCAGGCAGCAGGCCATGGGGAGCAGCATGGGCTGGCAACGTGCCCGGAGGGGCAGGAGAAGCTGTGGGATGGATGTGGGGTGCAGGAGGTGCTGTGGGGTGCAGCTGGGCACTGGCTCTCATTGCAGACACTGACTACGTGACGGCGCTATGCTCCCAGGTGGTGTATGAGGGGCTGGTGGACGACACATTCCGCATCAAGTGTGGTAGGTGGCCGGGAGGGCGATGGGGCTCTGCAGCCACGTACGTAGTGGAGTCCCCGGTGTTCATGCTGGTACCACACACCTGACACTGAGTTGCGGCCAAGGCTGTTCCCTGCAGGCAGATCTGGTGCTGCTGGAGGCTGTCCATAGCCTGACCAAGCTGCGGGCAGGCAGCTGCTCTCTGCTGCATGCTGCAACAGGGCCAGCATGCATGGCCATGTCTGTTGCTGGCGCAAAGCAGCTCTTCATTCTCTGCAGGGAGCGTGGATTTTGGACCAGACGTCACCTCTTCTGACAAGAGCATTAAGGTGCTGCTCAATGCCCAGGACAAGGTGAGCATTTGGCCTTTATGTGCCTCAAGGGAAGCGGGTTCCCCCTGCTCAGCCTGACCTGGGAGCAGCTGGGTGCTGCTGGGCCTTGGAGCCCAGCATGGGATGGCTCAGGGTAAAGAGGCCAGAGAAGCATGCTCTGCAGGCCCCGCTGGGCTCCTCTCGCCAGCAGAGTCCCTGCGGGCCGGGCAGTCGGTGCTGCAGACATTGGCCGTCCCGGTGGGGACTCCACGTTGTCTCGCTGCTGCACCCACCGGCTCTGGGCACGGGTGGCTGCGGGTGCCTGGAGCACAGGACACGTGCCCAGCACCCGCTGTGTGTGTTCTCTGCAGGTCTTCAGCCAGATTCGCAACGAGCACTTCTCCAGCGTGTTCGGGTTCCTGAGCCAGAAGTCCCGTAACCTGCAGGCACAGTACGATGTGAGCATCACCCGGGTGTGGGCACCCGCTGGGTCCCTCCACACCGCGTCACCACCACCGCGCTCTGCCTCCCGCAGCGGCGCCGCGGCATGGACATCAAGCAGATGAAGAACTTCGTGTCCCAAGAGCTGAAGGGACTGAAGCAAGAGCATCGCCTGCTGAGCCTGCGTAGGAGCTGGGGCTGGGCACTGGGGAGAGTGGGGGCCCGAAGGGCTCTGTGAGTCCCCAGAAGGGCAGAGGGTCTGCGCTGTGGGCAGGGGAGTGGAGGCCATTGGTGCAGGTGTCTGTAGCGGGGGGACGAGCTCTGTGCAGAGCCTGTTACTCCAAATACCCATCTCTGGCTCTGCAGATATTGGTGCCTGTGAGTCCATCATGAAGAAGAAAACCAAGCAGGACTTCCAGGAGATGATCAAGGCTGAACACTGTGAGTGCTGTTCTCTGTTCCACATCTGTTGCTAAGCTCATCCCAGTCCTTGCTCCACAGCTTCTGCTCTGACCCATGACCTCACTTGTCTGGGTCCTGGGCAGCCTCACACCTGTGTGGTCAAAGACAGGGAATCCCAGACTGATTCAGGTTGGAAGGGACCTTAAAGCTCCTCCAGCTCCAGCCCCTGCTACAGGCAGGGACCCCTTCCACTGGAGCAGCTTGCTCCAAGCCCCTGTGTCCAACCTGGCCTTGAACACTGCCAGGGATGGCGCAGCCACAGCTTCTCTGGGCACCCTGTGCCAGCGCCTCAGCACCCTCACAGGGAAGAGCTTCTGCCTAAGAGCTCAGCTCAGTCTCCCCTCTGGCAGGTTAAAGCCATTCCCCTTGGCCTGTCCCTACAGGCCCTTGTCCAAAGCCCCTCTCCAGGTTTCTTGTAGTCCCTTTAGCACTTCCAGATCATTTTATTGGGGGGGGTCTTCAGATCCTAAATAGGGTCAAAGCCACATCCTCAAAGGGCTGGTGAATGGTGGGCTAGGGGCACAGCATCACGAGCCTGCCCTGTTCCCTGAGGCTCGGGGAGGGAGGCTGAGCTCACAGTGCAGCCCTGGGCATGGGTGAAGTGATGGTGCCTCTGGCCCTGCTGCAGCTCTCTTGGAGGGCTTCGACATCCGTGAGAGCACCAGCTTCATAGAGGAACACATTGACCGGCAGGTAAGACCAGGTGGGACGGGGGACAGGCTGCCCTGGCCTCTCCGTCCTGCTGCAGGGACACCGGGGAGCTGGCAGCAGCCTGCCACCGCCTGCTCTGCTCCCACATAGGTGTCCCCCATCGAGAGCCTGCGCCTCATGTGCCTCCTGTCCATCACGGAGAACGGTGAGGCACCCGCCTGCACGGGGCAGGCACTGCAGCACCGCAGCCGTGGCACAGAGCTCTGTCCTGGGTTCAGCAGTAGCAGTCATGTTTTTTCCTTTGTGTTAACTGGTGCAGTGCTGTGTTTTGACTTCTAGTTTTGAGAACAGCGTTGGTGAAGCCGATGTTTTCGGTTGTTGCTAAGTGATGTTTACCCTGACCAAGGACTTTGTGAGGCTCATGCTCTGCCAGGGAGGAGGGGAAGCTGTGAGGAAGCAGAGACGGGGCGCCTGACCCGGGCTAGCCGGGGAGGTATTCCATACCACAGCACGTCATGCCCGGGGTGGGGGGTAACTGGGAGTTGCCCGGAAGGACAGGGGCTTCCGGGTGGAACTCGTTTTCTTGGCCGGTGGTATCGTATTCTCTTCCCTTGTTATTTTCCCTTATCATTGTTTTAGCTGATAGTAGCGGTGGTGATTTGTTGCTGGACTGTTCTTGTCTCAACCCGTAGGAGTTGCACTCTCTCGATCCTCCTCCCCGTTCCTCCGGGAGCGGGGAAGGGGAGAGCCCCGGTGCAGGGAGGGGGGGGGAGACGAACACGGACCTTGATTGTTGTCAGCTTGGCACCACTCACTGGGAGTGAGTGAACAAGTTACCTGACTGGGTTTAAACCACGACAAGCTCACCCTGCTGCTTCCACAGGTCTCATCCCCAAAGACTATCGCTCCCTCAAAACCCAGTACCTGCAGGTGAGCAGTAGCTGGTGGCTCAGTGTACAACAGGCTTGTGTTGGACGGGGCTTCTCTTCCCTACTGCTGCTCAGGCACCTCTGCAGGACAGCCCCTGGCTCTGCCTGCCCCTGCCCTTTGCTGGGCTGCTCTAAACAGCCTGTCCTCCCACGGAGGTGGCACCGGTGCTGATCCGGTTCTGATCTGGCTGCCCCTTCCCCAGAGCTACGGCCCTGAGCACTTGCTGACCTTCCACAACCTGAAGCGCATCGGGCTGCTGACAGAGCAGGTGGCTGGGGAGACTCTGACTGCAGTGGAGAGCCGGGTCAGCAAGCTGGTGACCGACCGGGCCGCCGGTGAGAGCGGCTGCAGCCACATGGCAGTCATGGGTGCTGTGACACAGAGTGTGGCCCCGGTGCTGGCTCTGCCCATGGGGGCAGCAGGGCTGCCTGCACCACTGTCTGCCCTGCTGCCAGTGGCTCTGGGTGTCTCTGCCCACAGGTTCTGAGCTGTTTCTCTTTGCCTTGTTTTCCAGGAAAGATCACGGATGCGTTTAATTCTTTGGCCAGGAAGAGCAACTTTCGAGCCATAAGCAAGAAGCTGGGGTTGGTACGTGCTCATGCGGCTCCTGCTCTGCCCACGTGCCCACTGGTGCCAGAGGAGCTCTGGTCTGTCTGTGCCCGTGACTGTGGGCTCAGCACCCACGGAGCCATGCAGCGCATGGGGCCAGAGCTGCAGCCACCCCAGGCAGGGGGGGGTCTCCCCTGGACAGGGGCTCACTGCGGTTTCCTGGTCTGTCCTGACTGGGCCCCGCTGGTGCAGTGGAGGGCTGGGCACTGCCAACACTACAGCCCTGCTCCAGCACGTGTAGCTGCCTGGCTCGGGGGTGGCAGCTCTGTAGCCTCTGTCCTGGGATGGCGGTGAGGTGACATTTCATCCCTGCCCTCAACACCCAGGCCCTCTGTTTGCTGGTGCTGAGGCAGTGGGGCAGGAGGTGGGGGCAAGGCTCACTCAAAGCCTCTGTCCCTCCCTGCCTGCACCTCAAAGGGGCCGGTGGAGCCCCAAGCGGGCTTGGTCCTGTGCCCCAAGCACCGCATGTCTCTGTAGATCCCGCGGCTGGACGGCGAGTACGACCTCAAGCTGCCGCGGGACATGGCGTACGTCTTCAGCGGCGCCTACGTGCCCCTGAGCTGCAAGATCATTGAGCAGGTGAGCGCCACACGTGTGTCCCGAGCCCGGCCTGCGCCCGGGGGTTTCCTGCTGCTCACCCCTGCCCCTGCTGCAGGTGCTGGAGCGCCGGGGCTGGCAGGGCCTGGAGGAGGTGGTGCGGCTGCTCAACGGGCACGAGTTCTCCGTGTCAGGTAGCGCCGGCACGGGGCGGGGGGGGGAGGCCGGGGCTGCGGGTCCCACAGGCTGTGCCCCGTGCAGACAGCGCGGCCGAGGACAGCGCGGCGGCGGAGGCGCAGCGCGTGGTGCTCGCCGTGTTCCTGGGGGGCTGCACCTTCTCCGAGATGGCGGCGCTGCGCTTCCTCGGCAAGGAGCGAGGTAGGGGCCGCCGGGGGTGGGGCGGGGGCTCCCTGCTGCAGCTGGGCAGCGCTGGAGCCCCCGGGGACGGACGGGGGTCGGTCCGTGGCTCCCGGGCCCTCGCTGGGGCTCAGCGCGGCCTCTCCCGCAGGGTGCAAGTTCATCTTCCTGACCACGGCCATCACCAGCAGCGCCCGCGTCATGGAGGCCATGACCGAGGCTCGGGCCTGAGGCCGATAACGGCGGCTCCCGGGGCGGCACCGGGAGCGGGGGGGTCCCGGTTTGGGCGGGGCTCGCCCTCGTACGGTCACGTGGTTGCCGTCAAACACGGAGCGCCGTTATGTGTGACCTGAGGGCGCTGGTCCCGCTTCTGATTGGCTTAAACGGGCCGAAGGGATTTGGCTGCCATTGGCTGGTGGCCGGCTTGGGGTGGGGCCGACCGCGAATGCGGCGGTTGTGGGCGGGGCCCGCGGTGACGCTGGCGCTGGCGGCAGCCAATCAGCGCTTCCGGAAGGCAAGTTTGTATCAGCGGAGCGAACGGTGCGCGCAGAGCGGGTCGGCAGCCATGAGGAAGAGGTGCGGGGCGGCGGCGGGGGGGGGCACCGGCACCGGGACCATCGGGGGGGGGGGACGGGGACACACTGGGACCGCGGGGGGTTGGCGGCGGGGGCGTGGCCCGAGACCGGCCCCGGCCAGTGGCGGCGGTGGTCGGGGCGGAGGGAGGGGGTGCCGAGGGGGCTGTGTCGTCGCGGCCCCGGCGGTCGCTCATGTCGCTGTGCCGGTGCCCGCAGTGAGGTGGTGGAGGCCGAGGCCGTGTCGTACTTGAACCGAGCCATAGCGGAGCTGCGGAATATCTGGGACGAGATCGGCATCTCCGAGGAGCAGCGCCTGGAGCGCATCTGCACCGTCAATGTGCACATCAAGGTGAGGGCTGGAGCCCAACCGGGAGCGAGCACACGGGGACATGGCCAAGGCTGTGTCCTGGCCGCGCGCTGCCGGGGCTCCCCCGGGGCCGTCCCTCGGCTCGGCCCCAGCCGTGGGCCCGCTCTACAGCCCCGGTTCCCTGCCCCTTCCCTTCTCCATCCCCGTGGCCCGCCTCTAACCGCGGCCGTGCTGCAGAACTTGCTGGACATGATGGTGGCGGAGGAGGAGGGCCTGAAGAAGCGTCTCTTGAAGAGCATCGCCCTCTGCCGGAATGAGCTTGACACTCTCTGCAAGGAGCTCCAGCTGGACCCCGTTGAGGTGAGGTGCTGCCTCCCTCTCCCGGTATCCTGCTGGCGGCAGTCTGTTGCTGTCTGGCCTCTGCCTGGCGTCCTAGGGAGGCCGGAGCTCATTCAGAACCCTTTTTCCTGATGCTTGCTAGGGCTGGAGGCTCTGTGGCTCCTCGCAGGGAGATGGATGTGAGGAGGGCAGGGGCCTTGTAGCATCTCATTTTGTGTGTTGCTGCTGTGTTTGTGCCTTACTGGGGAGCCCCTTACTCAGCACAAGGGCTTGTGTCTTCATTTAAGGAGTCTTAAGTTTTGTTTAAGAACTTTAAGGAGAGCTGCAAGTCAGATCTGCAAGAGCTGATGTCTGTGCTCTTGCAGGCAGAGGAAGAAAGTACCATCCTGCAGATGGAGAAGAATCTGCGTGCCCGCGTGGAAGTGATGTTAAAGCAGAAAAGGGACAGAAAGCAGGAGCTCAAAACCCTGCAAGAACAGGATCAAGACCTCTGCAGCATCCTCTGCACAGCCCCATTCAGCATCGACAGCAATGCTGTGCCCAGCCTGGAGGACCTGGATTGCTACAGGCGCCACGTGGCCTCCCTGACCACCGAAAAGGTAATGGGGATGGGGCGAGGGCCTTGCCAGGGGGCACACAAGGCGCTCACTGGTTCCTGACACTGTTCCTCATCTCCAGGAGAAACGGCGAGAGGAGTTTGTCAGCAGTAAGCGCCAAATCATCCTCCTCATGGAGGAGCTGGACCACACTCCAGACACGAGCTTTGAGCGGGAGGTGGTGTGTGAGGACGAGGATGCTTTCTGTCTGTCTGAGGACAACATTGCTGCCCTCCAGCACCTGCTGCAGCAGGTACTTGGCTCGCTGAGGCAGTGCCGCTCACAGTGGGGGCTGTCAATGGGCATCACTCAGTGATCAGCCTGAGTGCCAGGGGAGCTTTCTGAGGCCAGTGAGCCAGCATCCGCTCGTGTCCATGGGGCCACGCTGAGCTGGAGCTGTCCCCTTGCAGCTGGAAGCCCAACGGTCCCTGAACGAAGCCGTGTGTGTGGAGCTGCGCTCCAGGATCCTCATGCTCTGGGAGCGGTTGCAGATCCCTGAGGAGGAGAGAGTGGCCTCGGCAGTGCACATGGCTGGGTCCAGGGCCAAAACCATAAAAGCTGTAAGGACCATCCTGTACCTCGGTGTGGGAGGGTGGGGGGCAGCAGCTCTGTGTCTCACACTCCTGAGTGGAGATTTTTCCCACAGTTGGGTGCAAAGCAAATAGGACAAGTCCTGCCCTTGTTGTGGGAGCTGGGATTTGCTGTTGGCAACTGCCTTGGCTTAGAAAGTGGTTTATGCAGAAGATAAATCCTGTTCTGTTCCTTTTTTTATGCTGCCTTCTCTAAGGCTGTGCTCTGCTCTTGTTGGCAGCTGCAGCTGGAAGCGGACCAGCTGGAGGAGATGAAGCTGCAGAACATGAAGTCTGTGGTTCAGGCGATCCGGGCAGAGCTGGCTGTCTACTGGGACAAATGCTTCTACAATCAGGAGCAGAGGGAACGCTTCAGCGCTTATTACGACGGTGGGTGCTGGTTCTCCCTGTTTGCTGACTCCCCTGTGGACTGTGTGCTGCCCCGAGGGCTGCACTCTGCTCGCAGCTGGGATCCCGGCTGCCTCCTGAACATGCTGTTGTATTCTCTGCAGAAGACTATACAGAGACCCTGCTTGAGCTCCATGATGCTGAGGTGCAGAAGATGAAGAACTACTATGAAGCACACAAAGATCTGTTTGGAGCTGTCCAGAAATGGGAGGAGAACTGGAAGCTGTTCCTGGAGCTGGAGGTATTGTCCGGGCAGGAGTGTGCTCTGCCAGGCTCGGGGCTAGGTCAGCACCAGTGCGCACGTCTGCTTCTATGTGCAAAGTGCTGTTGGGAATAACCAAGGAGGCACTGAGAACCCCGGTGTGTTGGTGAGGGGAGGGGATGGGGCACTGTTGGAGCACTGTGGTTGGTGCTAGGGACTCTGCAGCAGAGATTGTTCCTCTGGGGCTGGTGTGTGTTGGGCTCTCTCCTGACCTCTCGCCTGTACCAGAGGAAAGCATCTGATCCCAGTCGCTTTGCCAACCGTGGGGGAAACCTGCTGAAAGAAGAGAAGCAGCGAGCAAAGCTGCAGAAGACACTTTCCAAGGTAGGTTCAGCCCTGGAGAAGAAGCTATAGCTAGGCCTCCATAGCACTGAGACAAGCGCAGCACACGGGGCCAGCAGTGTGTCCCTGGGCACAGGGATTCCCCATTCTGGGGGCAGTCTCTCTACACTGCCCTTGTGTCCTCATCAGCTGCAGGAGGAGCTGCAGAGCAGGGTCCAGGCCTGGGAGCAGGAGCAGGAGGAGCCCTTCCTGATGAGGGGGCAGCAGTTCATGGAGTACATGATGGAGCAGCAGCAGCTGTACCACCTGGAGAAAGAGAAGGAGAAACAGGAGCGGGTGAGTGCGGGGCTGCACGTGAGCCTCTGCTGCACTGCATGCCAGCAGCTCATTGATGGTGCATTGCACACCAATGGTTCAGCAGGTGTCTTGGTGGCCCTGCCATGCCGGGCTGGGAGCTGCCCCAGCCGCTGCTCTCTCTTCTCACTCTCTGCCTGGAAGCAGCTTTGTGTGCAGCCACCTTTCTGTGACAGCAGGACTGGTGTCCATTGCTGTCAGTGTTTGTGTGTGTGTTGAGCCCCTTTGTTGGTCCCAGCTGTGCCAGAGCAGCCCCTTGGCTCTGGGTACCTGTAAACCTGTTGACACAGCTGCTGCATGGCTGTGCCATGGGCTGACTGGTCCAGGCTGGCAGAAGCTGCGCTGCTGCTCGGCTGGGCTGTCAGCGCTGGTGTCTCACACAGCAACTGAAGAAGAGCCGGCAGATGGAGGCAGAGATGATGTACGGCAGCACCCCACAGACACCCATCAAGCGGCGGGTGCTGGGCCCCCACACCCCCAGCAAAATGCGGAAGGTAAAGCTGTGTGTGCAGCAGCGTGGCTATGCTGGGCCTTGCGGGGTCACCACAGCCCTGCCTGGACTGGGGCTGCCCTTGGTCCTGGGCAGAGATGTGGTGGGGTTTGGGAAGCTGGGGGCAGGCCCCGGCCGTGGGCACCTGTTCCCCTGGGGCCAAGGGGCCTGTTGTGCTCTGGAGGCTCTGCACAGCCAGCGCTTGCACCCAGGCTTCCCCAGCACGGTGCAGGCGTGTGTGACACGGGCTCTGCTTTCCCTGCAGCTCAATGGCAATTCCACCTCCAGCGTGACACCCAACAGCACCGTGCGCTCGGTTTTCGGGGCAGCCATCCACCGCTCGCCAAAGTCTAAGCTGCCGCCCTCCGGAGGGAAGGTAAGGAGCTGCCCGGGAGGAGAGGGGTGAGCTCTGCTGTCTCCTTGGGCTTCACTGCTCCTCTGCCGCGCTCCTGCAACAGCCCCTCTGTGTCTGTGTGCTGCTGGGCCGGGCTGCTGCCACCCTGGCGGGGTGCTCCTGGGGTGTGAGGGAGGAGGAGGAGGGTGGTGACAGCACCCAGGAGCTCTTCCTCCAGCCCCCATTTCTGCTGTTGCTCAGTGCTGAGCCTGCCGCCTGGGGGGGACCCTCAACATGCACGAGTGCTGCTGCATGTCCCCGGGCTCAGCCCAGTGCCCTGCAGGGCTCCTGCAGCGTGGAGCTGCTGCGGTGCTGCCAGCACCCGCTGCTCCCTCACTCCTGTGGCCCCTCTCGTGTGGGTTCTCCCGCAGGTCGGCTCTGCTCGGACCCCCGGCCGTGCCGCCGCCAGGCCGCCCCGTCCCGGGCACAGGGAGCGGAACAAGGAGAACGTGTCACAGCTGAACGGAACCGCCCTGAGCGGTGGGTGCACCCCCAGAGCCCCCACCCAGCGTAACCAGAGCATTAATTCTGTTCCCAGCACCTATTCTGACTTTGCGGTAATTCACCTCTTCTCCCCCCGACTCCCTTCACTGGGCAGCACAAGGGGGGGGTGCTCCCCCCTCCCAGAGCACCCCACGGGGCAGCAGCTCTTTGGCTCCACAGCGAGAACTCAAAATTGAGGTTTGGTGGCCAAGGCCAAGCCCTGCCCATGTCCCAGGAGGGCCCTGAGCAGGCACTGGGGAGCAGCCACAGCCACACGAGAGGTGCAGCCCAGGCCCCCTGGAACAGCCCTGCCGCTGGGGCTGTCTCGAGCAGAGTCCTTCCCCTGTCCCTATGGTCACGGTCCCCCAGTGCAGGGTGCTCTGGGGCTGCTGGTGCTCCCTGTCCTCCCTGGGGGGTGCAGCAGCCGTGCTCTGCTGCTGTCCTAGCCCAGGCAGCAGGAGAGAGAGGAGGGGAGCTCTCCTGGTCCCCCCAAGCAAGGGAAGCTTTTTCCTGCTGCCTGCATGGTCTCATCTGTCACACGCTTGCATTGGGGCTCTGCTCGCTGTCCCCTGCAGAGGGACCCTGGCATCTCTCTTCCCTTTCCCTTGGTCCCTGCAGTGTGCTGAGAGCTGCCTCAGCTGTGGGGAGGGTGCTTCCTGCTCCTGGATGGGGCTCTGCTATCTCTGGCCGGCTGGAGGTCTCTTACCCCACCCTTCAGCATGGGCTGAGCCCAAGCTTTAGCTCTGACCCCAAATGGCCACGAGCCTGGTGGCAGCTAAGCTGGGGTATGCTGAGATACTCACCCTGCTGCCGGGCTGATCCAGGCTCAGGCGCAGGGCATGGGGCTGGTTGGGTTTGGTTTGGTTTGTGATGGAGGCAGGTTCCTGCCAGCTCTGCCTGTGCTCCGGCCACCGGGCAGGACTGTCCCTGTCCTCCTGCTTTGCTGAGGCACAAGTGGTGCTGCTGGGCTCTGACAGCTCTGACCTGGGACCTGACCTGGCTCCTGCTTCTTGTTTCCACAGCGCGAACTTTCAAAGGCCTCCAGATCTGAGAGCGGCTCCCACGTCCTCAACTCCACCACCACCACTGCCTTCTGCTGATGCCTGGCCTGCCACTCCTCCCCGCTGCAGTGAGTCTGCTCGGGCAGAGCCCAGCTCCCCGTGCCCACAGCATCCTGTGCCGCGGGGCTGGGTCCTGAGGGGGCACTTTTAAAAACTTGCTTTTATTTGGGGAAACGCTTGCAAACGTTCGTCATTAAAGGCTTCGTAAGGGGTCACGTTGAGGGGGGTGGCTGGGGTGAGCAGGTGTGTGGGCTCTGCCCTGCTGAGCATGCTCTGGGACAGACGGGCCCTCGGTGCCGTTCCTCCTGGGCTTTTCCCCTTTGTCACTGCTGTAGCTATTGTCCATCAGCAGAGCCTTCCTCGCCATCCCAGCAGGCTTGTGGGAGTGCCCCCAGGCGCTGGGCCTCACCTCTCCCCGGGGGGAGAAGCAGTGGTGGGGGTCCAGGGGGAGCGGTAGGGCCCTTTACGGACCTGGCCTTCCCCTGGAGCTCCTGTAGCCCTAGGACCTGTACCCTGCTGGTGCCTGAGCACTGCTGGAGCAGAGGGGAGCTGCGGTGGGACAGGGACGAGGCTTTGGTCCCTGTGCACAGGAGGGGGCAGCTTGGCCAACCCCCAGGGTGAGCTCTGCACTGCCTCCCCTGGGCTGGGGACAGCACGGACCTGGGCCCAGCACAGCCGTGGGGCCTGGTTGCACCTTTGCTAAGGAAGCTCTGTGCAGATGTGTCTGTCCCTGATCATGACTAATTTGCACCTTGTTATCACTACAGTCCCCCACTCACTGTTATTTATTCTCCAGGTTCTGTCTCCTTGCTCTGTAACTGTATATACTGTTCATTGGAATAATAAATGTGTGTGTGTATGTGTGTGTGTGGCTGGGGGGGAGCGGTGGGCTCAGGGTTAAGCTGGGGCCATCCTTTGGACACAGCACAAACACCACCACAGCCATTCTATAAAAGCAGATGTAATAAATACCTCCAGCCCAGCCTGGGCTTGGCTTCAGCCCCTGTGCACCTGCAGCCCCGCTTCAGGCTCCGAGTTCAGCTCCTGGGGGACTGAGTCCGTGCAGGTCCGGTCCTGGGAGGCTGATGGCAGAGTGGGGCCAGGGCTGGTTCCAGCAGCAGTGGGGTCCTCACCGCAGGCAGCCGGGGTGCTGGAGGGGGCCGGGGGCTCCCGCACGCAGACATAGGTGGTCCAGGGCCCGCACACCACTGCCTCCGCCCGCAGCCCCTCGGTCACCAGGTGCTCGACGCGCCGGGGCCGGTCGGAGCTGGCCTCGTCCCCGTGTCCCAGCTGCCCGTATTTACCTGCAGACAGCAGTGGGGCCATGTGTGGCCCTGGGGCCTCTGCCCCTGAGGGTGCTTGGGGTAGGGAATGTGAGAGCATCCCGTACAAGTGGCTCTGGGAGGGAGCACAAGTGCTCTGCTCTGAAACCTCGTGGCAATGAAATCCCAGACTGGTTGGAAGGGACCTCAAAGCTCCTCCAGCTCCAACCCCTGCCACGGGCAGGGACCCCTTCCACTGGAGCAGCTTGCTCCAAGCCCCTGTGTCCAACCTGGCCTTGAGCACTGCCAGGGATGGGGCAGCCACAGCTTCTCTGGGCACCCTGTGCCAGCGCCTCAGCACCCTCCCAGGGAAGAGCTTCTGCCTAAGAGCTCAGCTCAGTCTCCCCTCGGGCAGGTTAAAGCCATTCCCCTTGGCCTGTCCCTACATCCCTTGTCCCAAGCCCCTCTCCAGCTTTCCTGCAGCCCCTTCAGGCACTGGAGCTGCTCTCAGGTCTCCCCTTCAGGAGCCTTCTCCAGGCTGCCCCAGCCCAGCTCTCTCAGCCTGGCTCCAGAGCAGAGCTGCTCCAGCCCTCGCAGCAGCTCCGTGGCCTCCTCTGGCCTTGCTCCAACAGCTCCACGTCCTCCTTATGCCCATTTAAGAACCAAGAGCAGTCAATGGTAGGGAAGCACAAAACAAAAGCTGGTCCGGGGGGGTTTTACCGTCCCAGAGGCATCGCTTACCCCAGCCCCAGGTGTAGAGCTCGCCGCCTCCTGCAGCCAGGACAGTGACCGTCACCCGGTGCCCGCAGCACGGGACCCGCAGCCCCCCTGCCCCGGCACTCACGTGTGACAGCGGCTGTGTGCCGGGACCCGCAGCTGACCTCGCTGACCTCGGCCTCCTGCGGCAGGTCCAGCAGCGCCGGCAGTGCCTGGATGGAGATGAACGTGGCGGGCTCGGCCGCCGGCTGCTCCTGGCACGGGCTCAGCGCCGCAGCCCCTGCAAGTGCCGACCTTCAGCTGGCGCCGCAGCCCGCACCCAGCACCACCCTCGGCAGCACCCTCACCTGCTCCCGCGTCCTCGCCCTGTGCCCGCTCCTCAGCCAACGCCTTGCAGGGCAGAGCCAACTGCCCCGACTCGTTCCAGCCCCACATGTAGAGGTCTCCTGCCTCTGCGGGGAGGGGGGAGCAGTCAGGCTCAGCCCTGAGCGCCCCTCTGCTGCTCAGGGGCTCCCACACCGGGGCCCTGCAGGCCGCAGCCCCTCACCGCTGACGCTGGCCGAATGCCACCCGCCCGCTGCCACGGCCCCCATGGGCACCCCGGCCAGCGCCTCCACCAGCCGCGGCTGCGCCTCCGACTCCAGCGTCCCGTGCCCGAGCTGCCCGTGCCTGCGGGAACACACGGACACAGACAGGACCCACCCCCCCCACAGCCCTCAGCTCCCGGCCCCACCGTGAGCCCACGGTCCTGAACCCTGCTGCCGCCGGCCCCGGTCCCCTGGGGCCCCCATCGTGGCCATATCCCAATGGGGCTGGTGGGGGCTCACGGCCCCTGCTTGCAGCACCGTGCCTGAGACAGGTCTGCACTGCTGTACCGCTGCTGCGGCCAACGGCACTGCTCTGAACTGGTAAATGTGCTCACGAGGAGGTCTCTCCATCACTGAGCTCATCCGGGCTGTGCTGAGCCAGTGACCGGCAGCGCGGTGTCCCCATAGCGCAAGCTGCACGCCGGGACTGGGATGGGACACTGTGCCTGCAGCTCCTGGCACCGGGCAGGCTGGTGCTGCCCAGCACAAGGATCAGCATCCTGAGAGCCCAGTTACAGACTGGGCTGGTGGTGAGCAAGGGGGACAGAACACACCAGGGGCTTCAGTTGTCAGAGCTGCTCCCAGAGCAGAAAGAGCTGGATGCGGCTGTGAAAGTAAAATAAACAGCTCAGCCCCATTCAGCACACGAATGTGGCCCTGGGGAGCGTCAGTGGCAGGACAGGATGCCAAAACCCTGCTGATGCCATGATGCTGGAAAGGCTTCTCCCTTTGCTTCATGGGAATGGCAAAGATGCACCGGGCTGGACCTCCTGGCATGGCTGAGACCCACAGCCAGCAGGCAGCAAAGGGCTGGCAGCAGAGGGGAAGGGGTTCCAGGCGCTCCCTGACTGAAAAGGGAAAGGGACTATGAAGGCTTGAGCAGGGCCAGCCAACGGCTGTTACCAAGGGGCTGTTACCCAGAGGGGCTGTTACTGAGGAGCTGTTACTGAGGAGCTGTTACCCAGAGGTGCTGTTACCCAGAGGGGCTGTTACTGAGGGGCTGTTACACGGCATCGGGACATGTGAGAGGATTCTCAGCCTTGCCAAATAAGCAAAGCTTAACCACGGCATTCAGCTTTTCAAAACAATCCTAGAATACCCGCTCACAAGTGTGGAATCCTTTCCTCTGAAGGGAAAGCAGGAAGGAGACAACGCAGTGTCCGCAACTGCAACAGCCGCTGCTTTAAACTGAGCATGATGTTTGCCATGAGGAGCTGCAGGCCAAGCCCCAGTCACCAAAAACCAGGGAATGGGGAGCAAACGCTCCCGAGCCAGTGGGGAACACCACGGGAGGGTGACGGGCAGCTCTGCTGCCTGCAACCGCCTGTTGGGGGTTAGGGGGGATGTGTGGGTTCTGTGTATTCCACAAGTAGCAAAGAAAGCATGTTCCACCCTGTGAATGTGAACAGCTAACAGATCCTGTCACCCACTGTGACACAGCGTTCCTGCCCACAGCACGGGCAGGAAGCAGCACCGTGCTGGCAAATGCACACCCACAGCTCGGCCTCGGGGCAACGGCAGCAGCAGGAATCGCTGGATAGAGGGGCAGGATGGGCTGGAGCCATGCCCTCCTCTGCTGGGAAAACAGTGGACATGGGGCCACATGTGCAGACACAGCCCCCAAACTGTTCACCGCATCCAAGTGCAACTGGGGGCAAGTGGAACGGGTTGGACGCTTTTCCCAAGGGGTTTACTCCCCTCCTGTGGGGCTGTAGCAGAGGAACCCTGCACTGAAGTGTTGACAAACAGCACCAACCTCCATTGCAGAAACAAACAGTTGGGGTTTTTGTGGAGCAGGAAGAGAGGGATCATAGAACCACACAACCCCAGCCTGCTTTGGGTTGGAAGGGACCTTAAAGCTCCTCCAGCTCCAACCCCTGCCACGGGCAGGGACCCCTTCCACTGGAGCAGCTTGCTCCAAGCCCCTGTGTCCAACCTGGCCTTGAGCACTGCCAGGGATGGGGCAGCCACAGCTTCTCTGGGCACCCTGTGCCAGCGCCTCAGCACCCTCACAGGGAAGAGCTTCTGCCTAAGAGCTCATCTCAGTCTCCCCTCGGGCAGGTTAAAGCCATTCCCCTTGGCCTGTCCCTACAGGCCCTTGTCCCAGGCCCCTCTCCAGGTTTCTTGTAGCCCCTTTAGGAGCTGAGCCCTGCGCTGTGAAGGATGAGGTGAGGCACAGATGCAGTTCCTGGCCATCCTTTGCCCCTGGGAAGGAGATGTTTGTGCTGAGCTGATGGACCAACAACCTCAGCTGGGCACCCAGTGAAGGTGAAGCAACCCCACAGCACCCAGAGAACCTGAGACTAGAAGAGAGGCAGGCCCAGGAAAGTGCATTATAGAATAAAAACCTGGGGGCTGCAAGTGAGCTGCAAACTGCACATCACTGTGTGACAGGCTGATGGGGCAGACCCCAAACCTCCAGCTGTGTTACACTCGGTACCACACCCCATAAGGAGAATACCTGCCACCACCCTGCATGTACAGTGCCGGGCAGTGCAGGAGCAGCGCTGCAAGACCAGGTAGAAGGGTTATGTGCCCGGCAGCAAAACCGGGACAAACAACGAACAGCAAGCACCTGGGACAACACACCAGTCCCTCCATCATGCTACTGGCCTAAAGACATGGTGTGAGAGAGCCGAAATGGGGAGACAGGCTTGAGCCCCAGTATTGGGACACAGCTGCACCCCCATCTTCATCCCTGAGGCACCCACGCCCCATCCCTAGCACCGAGGACAGACCTGCAAACTCACCCTCAGTGCAGGAGGGAGGGAAGTGCTGTAACTCAACAGCAGTTGTATGTAACTGAAATGACTTCAAAGTTATTAATCCTAGCTCAGTAATTATGTGTAGCACCAGGGACAGCAATAGGACCACAAAGCCACGAGTGATGTTCGCTCCTCAGTTACACTACTGGTCGTGTCAGCACTTTACTGGATTATTTTAGCCCCTTGATGAGTCCACACTACAGAAACCTGAACCCGTTTGTCTTGTGCCTACAGCTACTGGCGGCTCAGACCCTGAGGTGAGTGACCCCAACACCAACATCCTCTCACCTGCACCCCCACAGTCCTTCCTGTAAGCCCCCCATCATCCCTGTTGCACCTCCCCATCATGGGGTAATGCACTCAGCATCCATCCCCACATGCATCCCTGCCCCAGCTTTCCCCCAGCCCCTACGTCCTTAACCTCAGACCCACGTACCACGTACCTTTTGCCTGTGCTGCCTCCCTTCTCCTGCACCCCCATATCCCCCCTGCACTCTCGTATTCCACCTGCACCTCCATATCCCTCCCTGCATCCCCATAGCCCCCCCGCACCCCCCCATCCCTCGCACGGTTCCCACAGGGTGGAAGCCGCCCCCCGCACCCTCCCGCGCTCACCTGCCGCCGCCCCACGCGTGGAGCTCCCCGCTGGCACCCAGCACCAGGACGTGCTCGCTGCCGAGCGCCAGCCGCCGGGCGCGCAGCCCCGCGGGCAAGGCGCTGTAGAACGGCGGCCGCGGCGTCGCGAAGCCCCCGGGCAGCAGCGGCAGCGGGTGCCAGGGGGGGCCCCGCGGCAGGGCCCGGCTCCAGGAGGGCGCCCGGAGCCCCGCACCCCTCCGCCAGGCCCGCGCCGCCGTCGCGCCCCGCAGCACCAGGTGGGTCTCGGAGGGCAGCGCCTCGCACCAGCCCCGCAGCCGCCGCCGCCGCCCCGCGCTCCGCACCTCCAGCCCCGCGCCTGCGGGACCGGGACGTCAGGGGGAACCGGGGCCGGGGAACGGGGTCAGCCCGGGGGAGTGGGAGCAGAACCTCGGGGGACCGGAGCGGGGGGACCGGAGAGGGGGGCATCCCGGGGTATCAGCGGTACTGGGGAGAAGGGAGCATCCCATAGGGCAGGAGGGCATCCCGGGGCTCGGGGGGGTAGAGCAGCATCCTCGGGGTACCGGGGCTGGGAGTGAGGACAGGGACATCCCGGACGGACTGGCGCCGCAGGGGGACGGGGGATCCGTCCCGTGCATCCGGCACCGCGGAGGCAACGGGGAACGGGAAACCCCGGGGAGCCGGCGCCATGGGAGGTGGAGGGTCCCTCCCGGGGGCCCAGGATCAGGACAGACCGAGGGGACCGGCACGGGGAGGAAGCGGGCGGGCCGGGGGCAGCACCGGGCGGGCGCTCACCGGTCTCCACGACCACGTAGCTCCAGGCGGGCCACACGCGGCGGATCCCCCCCGGGCCCGGCTCCAGCCGCCGCGGGCCAAGGCCCGGGCTCGGCTCCCCCGCAGCCTCCTCCGTGCTGAAACCGAAGACGAGCCACGAGCAGCGCGGAGCCGCCATTGCAGGAGTCGGGGGGGAGGCGGAGGTACCGGGGGGCGGTACCGGGAGGCGGCACCGGGGGCGGCGCGGCGGCGGAGGGAGGGACAGAGGCCGGGCCGTGGTCCAAGAGCAGCTTTAGTGCGGTGTCACCGGGCGGACCTGCCGCCGTGCCGGGCTCAGCCGCGCGGGGGCCCGCGCCTGGCCGGTCCTCCCGGTTAAGGCAGACGGTGGCAAAGGCGGCGGTGATCCCCATCGTCCTCCCCTCGCCCCGGGGCACCGGCCAGGTGCGGGACGCCCCGGAGCAGCGCGTGCGGCAGCGAGTGCGGGCAGCCCCGGGCATCAGGACTGCTCCGGGTTGGGCTTGATGAGGCCGTAAGCCACGGCCTGAGCCAGGCTCTCCTTGGCCGCCTGCGCCACGCGCGGCTTCTCCTTGTCCTTGGCCAGCACCGAGAGGATCTCCAGCACCTCGCTGGCCATGAGCTGCTCAGCCACCTCCCGCCCAGCCGCCACCATGTTCATCACCACCACGGCCCCGCGGTGCTGCAGCTCCACGCTGGTGCTCAGCAGCAGCGCCTGCAGGATCTCCAGCCAGTGCACTGTCTGCAGGGCGGCAGGAGCCCTCAGCACTGCCCCCCGCACCCCGCCAGTGCTCGGTCAGGCTCGGGGCAGGACAGGCTGTCCTGGCTCCCAGGGGAGGAAACATGGGTCACCGGTGCTCCCCGGGTCCCCCAGCCCACCGCGGGGCACTCACCACCTGGGGGATCCGCTTGCAGATGGGGGGGTGCAGGGCCGTCAGCATGGCCAGAGTTCCCGAGGCCGCCCGACGCAGCTTCTCGTCCTCCTCCCCGCTGTACAGCACCATCAGCTTCAGCCGGTCACTGTCCTCAGCCAGGAACAGCTCCTGCACCTGCGGAGGAGGAGGAGGGTGGGTGGGATGTGGGAGACCAGGAGCCCAGCGGACACCCGGCCCGGCCCTCACCTCCCTGCTCATGGCCATGTTGCACATGCATTCCGTTGCAGCCAGCCGGATCAGCTCGTGCTCCTCAAACATGTACCCCTCGATCATGGGCACAGCCTTCTCCTTCAGGATCTTCTGCCTGCAGCAGGGCAAGCGTGAGCGCTCCCGGCCCAGGGCAGCACACTGCCGGGATGGACAGGCCCCCGCCACCCCCTAGGCTCAGCCCAGCTCCACTGCCCCTACCGCAGCCTCTCGCTGATGCCAGCCAGGTTGGTCAATGCCATCAGCCCCTCGAAGTTCTCCAGGCCTGTGCGCTGAAGGTGCAGAAGACTCACCAGGGGCCGGACCACCTCATAGATCTGTGGAGAGCAGCGCAGGGCTCAAACCCTGAGCAAGGGACCGGGGCTGTGCCCGTGGAACTAGGGGTACCAGGGGGAGCCTTGAGCCCAGCCTGAGGGCACAGCTGCTCCCATGGTCAGGCCTAGGCCATCAGGACTTTGTGGGCAACACCAGGGTCTTCCACCTCCTGCTCCCCAGGGAAGGATAAAGCCATTCCAGCAGTTACGACAGTGCAGATCCCACCTTGGATCAACAGCCCTGGAGCTGCTGACCCCTTTCCCAGTGGGCTGAGCCAAAAGCCCAGGCCCACTGCTGCTCCCACATGAGCCCCTGCTGTGGCCCTGCTCCCACCGCCTGCCCACACAGGGCCCCTGCCCAGCAGCCCCAGCCCCAGCCCACACTCACCCGCTCTCCAGGGAAGGCCATCTCTGGGTTGGAGGTGATGGTGATCTTCGCCAGGGCCTGCGCTGCCTTGGTCTGCCCCACCTCGGTGCCCTCCAGGGACAGCGGGATGAGAGCCTGCAGGCAGAGGCAGAGCAGCAGTGCTGCAGCTGGTTCATCACGGCCCCAGCACGGTGCCCCCCGCTGCAGAGCCAGCCCTGCCCAGAGCCCACCACAGGCTGCAGCACAGCAGGGCTGACCCTCACCTTGCCTCCTCCCTGCGCAACCACACCGCCCCGGTCCTCCGCCTCCTCCACCAGCGCCAGGAACACTCTGGGGGCAGAGCGGGAGCAGCTGGAGCACCCAGACACCCGCAGCGGGCACAGGCTGCACCAGACCACAGACGTCCCCTTTCTTCTCCCAGGAGCTTGCATTGCCCACAGGCACAGGAGGCTGCAGCAGGACACCAGCAGCCTCTGGACCCAGCTCCCTCTCTGCCACCCCCCAGCTCGCCCATACCTGGAGATCAGCTCCCGGCAGGAGTTGGTGAGCGCCGGGTTCTCACTCTTCACCATGCAGGCCAGAGCCGACACCACCCCAGCCGTCAGCAGCTTCCGCACCCGGCGCTTCACAAAGTCAGGCTTGTCCTGGCCCAGAGGCAGGGTCAGCGCTCAGCTCGCTGCCACTCACCTGCTGCCATCCTCTGCGAGGTCCCCAGCCTCACCCCTGAAGGCCTCAGGGACACCCTGTCCCCCTCAGGATGCCGGGATCTGCCCCACTGCGTGCTCCCGAGACGCGCCGTGCCCTGCCCACCTTGGGGTGCTGCTCTGGGATGTGCTGCTTGGCATACTTGGCCAGCTCCAGCATCTGGGGGTCTGGCTCCTCATGGTCGTAGCTGTTGGTGCAGTTCACCAGGGTGGAGGCGACAGCGTAGAGCACGCTCCTGTCCTCCGACTGCAGGGGTAACAGGGCGCCCATCACACCCACGATGGAGAGGACAGGACAGGACAGGCCTCGAGCCCACCCAGCACCACACGCCGCTTCCACACTCCCCAGCCCCCGAGCGTGAGCCCCACCACCCCGGAGCACGTTTCCGCAGCGCAGGGAGCCCTCCGCAGCGCCGGCACGCACCTTGGCCAGCTGGAACATGGCCTGCATCGCCGCCTTGTCCTCCACAAACTCCTCCTTGACGTCGGCGTCGAAGGTGAGGTAGGCCAGGCCCTCCACAGCCCAGCGCCGTGTGCCCACGTCCATTGCCTCGTTGCAGAGCCACCTGCAAGGGGCCGTGAGCGCGGCTGCGGCCCCCCCGCCCCCCACTCCCTGCCCCCCTACTCACTTGCGGCACTGCTTGGCCAGCTTCAGCGTGGAGCCCTCGGCAAACTGCTTCATGCTGAAGTCGGTGCCTCCGGCAGAGCCCAGCTTGCAGAGCCCCTGCAGCCAGGAGCAGCGCCCGTGAGCCCCGCGGCACCGGGGGCACAGCGCTGCGGACCCAGGCCCTGCAGCCGCAGCCAGCAGCAGCCGCAGCCAGCAGCAGCCACGGGGTGCTCACCACCAGCGCCCGGATGCGGATGCTGTCCCTCTCGCTGTGCTTGTAGATTTCCTTGAGCAGGCTGACGCCGTTGGCGGTGATGAAGGAAGCGCGCTTGGCCTTGTCGGCAGCATGGATCAGCGCCTCCACCGCTACCAGCTGGTGGGCCTCGCGCACCGAGGCGCAGAGGGACAGGATGCCATCCATGATCCCCTCCAGCTCCAGCACCCTGTTCCCAGCGTCCGAGGGGCCCTGCAGCAGGCACGACACTGTCTGGATGGCCCGCAGCTTCCCCACCAGCTCCTGCCCCTCGAACCAGCTCCTGTGCAGCGAGAACACCGGGGGGGGGGGGGGTAAGGCTGATGCATCCCACTGCCTCCGGCCACACACAGCCCCAGCTGCTGAACCCAGCACAGCCGGTCACTGGTGGAACTTACAACCTGCTTTTACCACTGAGAGCAAAAACGTTTGGGGTAGGGGTGCTGCTGCATGCGACCAAGCCCCATTTGCCCCGGGGACGCCCAGGCTCACCTCACGTAGTCCTTGCACAAGTGGTGGAAGTTTTCCCTCTCAGCATCACATTTCAGGTCATCGTAAAGTTTGCTCAGCAGCACCGAGGCGCTCATCCGAGTGTTCTCCGTCACGGGCAGGCTGCCCGGGCTGCCACACACTGTGCTTCCCACCTCCAGGATCTTCTTCAGGCCTAGGAGAAGGCGAGGACACACACCTCAGCGCTGGCAGGCACCCCGAGGCAAAGGGGTGCGAAGCCTGGCGGGACGCTGCGGGCTCCTCTGCTCACCCTGGTCGATCACCCACAGGCTCATGCTGTTGTTGGTCTCCTTTGGTGACTTCCTGGGCACGACCTTGATGAGCAGGTTGAGGGCATTGTCCCGGCCGTGCGCAGAGGCCCCTTCCAGAGCTAGCAGCTCCAGGAGGTGCTTGATCAGCAGTTTCAGGTCCTTGGAGGAATCTTCCAGAAGAGACAGTGCCCAGCAGTGAGCACCCCCGGCACAGCCCTCACCCTACCATGGCAGGGCTGGCAGGAGATGCTGCCATGACCAAGGGCTCCCGAATTCCAGCTCAACCTCACATTAACCCTGGGCCAGAGCCCTGGCTCTGCAGCAGGCAGCACTCACCCAGCACCACCGCGTCCTCCTTGCCACGGAAGTCCTTCTGCAGCCCCTCCTTCAGGGAGTCGAACATCACGTGCAGAAGGTTGCAGGCAGCCAGGGAAACCTGCTCGTGCTCCACACCCAGCACCGCCGAGAGGCGAGGGGCCCCCAGCTCCGCCAGGATGGCTGTGGTCTGCAAGTACCAGCACAGGTGTCAGCTGGAGACCTGGGGGAAGCCATGGTGCTTCCCAGCACCTCACTGGGACAGTTCCAAGTTACAACAAGGCTCTCACAACCTCAGGCCTGGCAGGTGACAGCCCAGAGCTCCTGTGCTCGGCAGGGCTGGAGGCAGAGGCCAGTGACACTCCCCTGCCTGTCACACTCCGCAGCCTCCCCGGCACCCATTTCCCCTGTCACACACGAGAGCTGAGCTATGGTAGGACCTACCCGGGAGCGGTGCCCGGAGCACAGCCCCACCAGCGTGCGCAGGGCCGCCAGCATCAGGTCAGCCTTGGCCGTGTCGAGCAGCTGCGTCAGCAGCCGCACACCATCACTTTGGAAGATCTTCTCTGCTCCGGCCTCCTCTCGCGCCAGCACGATCAGGTTCTGCGCAGCCTGGGAAGAGAGAGTCGTGTCTGAAGGCAGCCACCCAACAGAGCATTCCCCAGGGAGCACGCTGTGATGGTGGGAAGCCCATCCTCAACCCAGCAGCATTCAGCC